TCATTCCTTCCTTTATGCATCATTCATAATACCTATCAAATGCCAAGTTCCAGGCCCACAGATACAGCAGCAAACAAGGTAGAGACGCCTTTATGGAGCTGACTTTGTTCAAAGAAATGTGCACAGCCAGAAGAGGAAAGGGCCAGGGGTTATAGGGGAGAGGAAAATGGATGTTGGGCCACTTCTGGCGCCGCTGGGGGCTGTCCACTTCTTTGGCTGACCCACAACTGCTCAGCTCTCCTGATCTAGGAGGCTCCAGCCCAGGCTCCCCTGAATTTCACAGGGTCTTCTTATCCCACGGAGGGGGTAGCCTCCCTGCCATGGCCACTCTCCATGGCTCTGTGCCTTAGTTTTCTGCCATGACCACAATAAAAGACAAGTTTGCAAAACCGACCTGAGCTCTGCCTTCCCCCACCTTTGCCAAAAAAGCTAATTGGTTTTGCAATTAAAAAATGCAGAGAACAGGCAATGCAATCAATTTTACAAAAACTTGCTCAGTAATGAAGGCTTACCTCCAACCGGGGTGCCCTCCCAGCATATCAATCTGGGCCTCCCACAATGACAGCACGACACACACAATCCTCTCCTGCCTTACCTTGTAGATTCTTGTGCATTTCACACACTGGGTCCTGAGAGATTTGAGGCATCATTAGATCTGACCTCCTAGCTCTTATTTAAGGGCAAATATAAGTTTTTCTGTTTTATAGGTGAGGAAAGAGAATCAGGAAGGTGCAGTGACTCACCCAAGATGCCCAGCGAGGCCAGGCAGAGGACAGAGCCCCATCACACTCTCCTCTATCTTCTGGCCTGACGGCTCCTCCTACCCTACCATACATTCAGGAGCCAGAGAGTCCCTGGGTTCAAAGAGAGAACAGAAGACCTTTTTCTGAATGGAGCAGGCTGGCATATTTGGTGCACACTCTATGCCTCTCCCCACGTGACCCTCAACTTGTATCACTGCATTCAGGCCTCACAAAAGCCTTCTAAGAGGGCATATCATGCTCAGTGTTACAGATGAGTAAATCGAGGGTCAGGGAAGCTCAGTTACCTGATGGAGCCCACACAGCATGGGCCTCCTGGCAGCCATTTGGGGCAGATATGTTGCAGTTGAGGGGCTTCCATGTATTCCTGTGGGAAGAGCATAGGCTTTGGCAGCCATCCCACCATACATCCATCTGTCCATCCACCCATTCATTCAAAGAATTCATTTATTAGTCATTCATGAGACAGCTACTGATTGAGCATCTGCTATGTGTTAGTCCTGTGCCAGGGACCCATTAATGAGCAAAACAGGCCAAACCCACCCCCATGGGGCTCACAGTCTGGGAAACAGGGGGGATGAAGACCAACTCAATGATATAATCATGAAAATAAATGTAAAATGACCCCTGTGGTGGGGCTAACAAGGCATTGTAGATGAAGCCATGAGAGCCTGTGATGGGCTCTGATCTGGTTGTGGAGGGCTTCCTGGAGGAGGTGATACTGGCTCCCAGGTCTGAGGACTGGAGGTTACCTGCTAGAAAATCACAAAGGGGACTTACCTAAGGACTGGGCTTCTCAGCAAGCTGATGATTACATTCCTGGAAATCCTAAGATTCTGTGATCTGACATGAGGTTCAGATTCTATGATTCTAACCCAATATTTTGTGATGTGAAGATTCTATTAAAGTGAAAATTTAAGACTTGACAATCTAAGATCCTGGGATTCTGATTCAAGGTTTTATGGTTTTAAGATTCTATTGAGTAAAAACCTGGGAATTTATAACTCTGGGATTTAAAAGCTGTCAGTATAGTCCTCAGAGGCTGGAATTCCAGCATGATGGCCTTTGCTCCCAGAGTAGCACCTGCCAGAACCTTCCATCCACTGGGTATGAGTTTTTCCATGGCTCACAAAGTGGATGCATATGCAGTTCTCTGTGGTGTGGAGAATGCAAATTTATTCTGCAGTTCCACTGTCAGGCGCTTGCTTTATCTGCATGTTCCAGTTTCCAGAATAAATATTAGAAGACAAGTCTGTGAAGATTTTCTGTGTGTACATGAGTTAATTCCTCCAGCCAGGGGCTCATCCAGACATGAATTTTAACACAGGGTGCCGCTCTGCACACACTGCATGGCCAGGCTGGTGACTGGGCTGCAGCAGAGGGACAAGGGCCCCTGACTCCCAAAGAAGGGACTGAGAGGGGCCTTTGTGCACAGAGGCCAAGGTGGGGCGAGGCAGGAGGCCGAGCAGCCCTAGGGGGTCTGGACCACGTGCACAAATGGGTCTGCTCTCCACTGAGCATCTGGGGGGTCTCCGCATGGACCCCTGGGTCTGGGCTCACAGGGGCTGGTGTTACAGGAGCCTCCCAGAGGGGTGGGCACGACAGGGCAGCCCCGACCAAGGATGGGACACTGTATTCGTCACTGGGTGAGCTCTGAAGTCAGACAGATGGCAGATTCCAGCTCTCCCTAACCTGCTCAGCCATGGGACCTTGGAGAAACCACTTCATCTCCCCAAGATTCAGTTTCTTCAATAGGACCAATGATGCACCCCAATCACCTGCCTGGTGGTTCTGAGGATTAGTAATCGAGCATCAGTCCCAGCAAACATTCCCATAACACCTGCTGGGTACCAGACACACCTGAAGTGCCTTACAACGGGTTTAATCCTCACCCCAATGAGGGGCTGCTGTCATCACCCCACTTCACAGATGAGGAAACCTTCACGGGGAGGTTAATTAACTAAACCAACATCAGGTGGCTAACTCTAAAAACCTGTGAACAAGCTTAAGAACATTTACATTTTCCCACCAACCGTCCTGGCCAGGGCCCAGATTGGCCACATTCTTCACTGGCTCCTAGATCCGGCCCTCATTCTCCTGCTCTGACCCTTGCCTTGGGTCCAGCCTAGAAGCTGTGGAAGGCAGGCAATGCCCCCAGGCCTTCAGGCCCACAGGGCCCTCTCCCTGGAGCACCTCACTGGTTTTGCCATCCACTGGAATTCCTACTCATGCTTCAAGGCCCAGGCCAGGCATCACATTCTCTGCCCACAGCGACCCCACCCAGCCCTCACCCTCCACCCCTTCCTGAGCTCACAGCAGTTACTTCAGGCTGCCCTAGGGGCCCACTGTTCATTCCTCCCCTCTTCCAGTAACCTTACTGAGTCAGCACAAGTCCAAGACTCGCTTCTGGAGGAAAGACCAACTCCATGATGTTGCTATTATCACCCCATCTGAGAAAAACTCCCTCCCACAGAGGTTTTGTAACTTCCTGAGGCCACAGACCCCTCCAGCAGGTAGCAGTCCGGTCCCTCTGACCCCACAATCCGGGACCTGTGGTCTGCTCCAGGCTGCCCCACCTTGGGGACTGATGGAGAGGCCCTTGATTCAAAGGCTGGAAATGCCTCCTCCCCACATGCATATCAGTCACTCCCTTCCGCCCTGAAGGAAATGGGCCTCGTTCAAGTCACACACCACACGGCTGTCATTTAGTCCTGCTAATGAACTATGAGTGGATTGTCATGGCATTACTTGAGATTCACAAGAGACACATTTCGGCACCAGGCCCTCAAGTCCAAACAGGCATTAACCTGCTCACCCGCAGGCCGCATTTCCATTCTTCTACCTTCACTTTGAGACTCACCAGCACTGGCTGCTGTTCATACTGATTAGCACACAGTAAAAAATTTCTAACAGGTTGAAGTTAACTGGCTGCAGTGAGGGGTGAGTTTAACTCTGGCCCAGACGCAGGAGCCTGGAATGGGGAAAGCTCTGTGAAGGGAGCATCGGCCATGCAGACACCAGGGTTGTCAGCCCTGAGATGCTCCTTCAGGGTCTATCCCGCCCGCGTCCAGGCCACTTTCCTCACGTGCGGGTCCCCAGCCTCCCGTCTTGCTGGCTCTAATCCACCCTCCCCTGCCACTCCCGTGGTGGCAAACTAGGGAAACCTGCCGTGGCTCCCTACCTCTGCAGACAAACAGACTTAGCTTGGCTCCTGGGCCCTTTATGGGGCGTCCAGCCTCCCCACATTCCCATCTTTCTCCTTGCTCCACCTTGGTGTTGGGCCACGCCAGGTTATTCCCAGTACTTTCCCGCGCTTTTGGCCGTGGGCCTTTGCACTTACAGATTCTCTCTCCTGCTTTTCCTCCTTTGTCCAGTTCCTCCCAAGGTGAGGCCTCTCTGTCCAGGGTCTTCCCTTCCCCAGGCCCATCCCCAGACTGCTGTGGGACTGCAAGCTGCTCAGTCAGAAGCCCTAAGGAACCAGGAGCAGAGAAGGCCCAGGCATTTGGCAGAGGCCTGGCTGCCTGGCCGCAGGGAGCAAGTTCATCCTGCAGCCCTAACCCCAGGCCCTTCCTGTAACAGCAACGGGGCTTGGCTGCAGACGACTGCCCTGCAGACCTGCAGCCTCTCTGGGACCGCTGCCCTTCACTCCCAGAGACTGAGACCAGGAGAGAATGCGGCCTGGCCTGGGAGAGAGTCAGAGAGAAGACCCAAGCAGGAGAGAGAGGTGGCAAAGAGCCAAGTGGCAGGAAATTGAGGGGCTGGGCCCTAGAGACAGGCTCCTGCTCCACCTTTTCTCCCCAGTGCTTTGGGACAGTCATGCACCCTCATCCTGGTGATGTGGTGGCCACAGCACAGGCTTGGCTCATGCACACCAGGGTTCGAGCCCCATTTCTGTGTCTCGCTTGCTGAATGGCTGTGGGTGAGTCACTCAACCTGCGCCTCTGTTTCCCCCTATGCACCACGGAGATGATGACAGTGGCTGCCTCTGAAGACTGTGGTGCAGATTCATGAGGCAATGCAGAGAAAGGGCCTGGACTGTGCCTGACCCCCTGGTTAGCTCCATCGCTGTACATCCACATCATTGGGAGTGACTGGGGGTTGGAGCGAGGGTGAGGGCCCCCGAGCGGCTGACACTAGCAGCAGCCTGTGGCATTCAGGGGCCTCAGACACCTTCACAGACATGTTCTTGCCTGGTCCCCACCAGGACCATTTTAAATATTAGGAAAACTGAGGCTCAAAGAGATAAAGAGCTTTTTCCTGTACATGGACCAGATCAAGGTGCTCTGGGCCCCCTCTTCCCTCCCACCACCCATCAAGGCTCCTGCAGTAACAACAAGGATTATTGTATGTATTTTACACACACCCTGTCCCACGCATGACATCAAGTGTCCTGTCCACACAGGGGAAGCCCCGGTCAGAAAGTCCCTGGAGCCTGTGCTGCCTGTCCCAGGAAAAAGAGCGCCCTGATGCAGGCGCTGCCCCGGGGCTCTAGGTCTTCCCACCTGGGCATTTTCCACACGTTCTCCTGTAGGTGCCATTGGTCAGTGTTCCACTAACTGGGGGTGCTGCCCACCAGGGGATTTGGCCTTATCTCTGCTCTGCCTCAAATGACTTTCACGTCATGTTGCCCTCATTGGTGAGGTCTCTTTTGCTTAGTTAAGGATCAGAACTACAGACCCAGGCAGGTAACTAAGGGGCTCCTCTAGCACCAGTCTTTATGGTCAGAGGGAGGCACAGCACCCAGGGGCGGCCAGGGCAGCTTCCAGCATGGACCCAAAAAGGGTTGGAGGCTAGTGGAGCAAACACTGGGGATGCCAAACAAGGTCTCCCTGGAGACTCCCCAGCTCACAGGCCCAGAGAGCAGAGGCTCAGAGATGAGACAAAGCCAGCTGCCCACTCCACACCCAGCCCCCTACCCCGGCCCACCCCCTGACACTGAAGAGTGCTAGGAAGGAGTCCCATCACTCCACGCTGTTGCTGCCTGACTCCGGGTTTCTGGGGTCCCCTCTGACCAGCAGCCTACACAATCTCCACCCCCCAGTATGGGCCTGGGACATGCGCAATAATTATTTTTAAAAGAACGCTCAGGAATCCTTCCATGACTCCTTCTGTGAAAAACCAGGTCAGTAGAGACGCTAAGAAGGAATTCCTCTGTCCAGGATCACTCCACTTTCTAAGTAATGACTCCAAGTTTACTGTGCTAGCTGTAACTTCTCCGAGCTCCTAACTAGGTTTCCAGCCTCCTGCTCCACATTGTCCCTTGGAGGCCTGACTGGCATCTTAAACCTTAGTGTCCACAACGGGACTCTGTGTTTTCTCCCCAAAGTCACTCATCCCCAGTTGACGCGGCTCAGTATAGAGTGCTGCCACCCACCGCTGGGCTCCGGCAGCAATGCCCCGATCTCATCCGTGAGCAGGCCTAGACATATGGATGTGTGTATATGTACCTCCATTGCCAACCTGCCCACTTACCTTCATTCCAAGGGCACTACCCTAGTCCAGACCTCTCAGCTCATCTGGCCCTGCTGCAGCCCTCTGTCCACCCCCCGCTTCCACCGCGACCCGTTCCAAGTCACTCTTCCCACAGGTGAGCTAGCTCACACCCACGTGGATATATCACAGGCTCTTGCACCACGTGGGTTCCAGGGGGTTTGGTCCACAGGGAGCCCAGCAGGAGATGCCAGGGAGAGGAGGGGCACTGGGGTGTTAGGTTCCCTCATTTCAATCTTGCTGAGTTAGGGCTTGTGTTTCCAAAGCCCAGGTCTCAGCTCCTGACCGGTAGCTCTCCTACCAGCCCACCCCTCACAGTGTCTTCCAGCTCTCCACGGTGGAGCCTGTCATTCAATGCCCAGTTCACTGTGGACCATTGAGGGCTAGCACGGTGACCGCGCCCCCTGGAGATGGACGCGAAGTACTGCACCCCCAGCCCTGGCTCCTCTCTTCCCTGCCCACACCTTCATAAAGTCTCCCTTCTAAACGACCTTCCCCACCCAGGTAAGGGGGTCACCTGTTTCCTCTG